TACCTCACCTGAGTTAAGGGAATGCAAATTATCCTCAGACCCCCCTACTCCTCCCCCACCACCCTTATTGCTGCCAGACTCATAACTAGAATCAGATCCCAGTCTTCGCAGAATGACTAACATAAAGTCTGTGCTAATAGTGTTGTACACCAAAAATTTGCCTGCCACTTCAATGATGTCTCTAGGGACCAGTTGGTTTGGAGTGTGCAAGGCTGCCTCTTCTAAAGTGGAGGAAAAGTTTCTTCATTTGTACCATTTACTACTAGGAAAGAGACATAATCTTTGGTGCCTGTGGTTTTTTGAAAGTGGAAATATGCCGTGGTAGCATTATAGTCCAACTCGGGAGGCCCTGAAAATAGAGGAAAAGGGAAATCCTCTCAGTGGGAAGAACGCTGAGCAGTACATCTGATTATCTGCATTCCCTAGATACCATGCTGCCACTGCCTCATGAATTGACCATTTGGTGACTAGGAGGGTTGGATAAGCGGTATGTCTGTCTGCATGAGCAGAGTTATCCTATGGAAATGTTCACCCAAAAAATTGATTGCAGCAGAAGCTCTCAATAATGAGGTAGATAGATAACCTGTGAATATTAGGAAGCTTCTTCCCTCAGCTATTGTATGTCTTGCTCAATGGGCTCATGTTTGTAGTGACAATTGCATTAAGGATGGAGGTTATACACGAACTGAATGCATGGATTTATCTTCACCCAAGCTGATCTGGCCACTGCACTGCGGGATGCCTGACCTGTGCCACCAGGTAAAGTCAACACAATCCAAGAAATACCTCCATTCCCCGAAATCAACAGCTACCTGGAGGCTAAGTTGATTATTATATTGTCTGCTTCTGTTATGGAGTGAGCAGTAATTTCTTCTCACTGAAATAGATATTTGTTTTGGATATGGGTTCTTTTATCATCATGGTTCTGCCAGATCAACTTTACTTGGACTTAATGAATGCCTTATACACCATCATGATCATCTTATTTATTATCACATTGCTTTTAATGAAGGAATTTATTTCATAGCAAAAGAAGTACATCAGGAAGTTCATGTTCATAGAATTCACAGATTTATATCTCAATAACAGAAACTCTTGGCCTTATAGATAATTACAATATCCTATTGAAGACTGAGAGAGGGCCTCAGCTACAGACAATCAAAAAAGTTTGGGGTGCTATCCTATAAGGTGATATATATGCTTTGAAATAGCAACCTACATGCAGAAGGTACCAAAAACATGTATATACGTTTTAAGAAAGGAAAATCTGTATTAAAATTATGCTGATGGTAACCACTTTGAGCACCTCTTATAATTGCAGAAGTCAAATGTGACTTGTATTCATCTTTTGTTATTGGTATATATTGAGTATTATAATTTTAATACAGTTTTTTCCTTGCTTAAAATCTGTATACGTTTTTTTGGCACCCTCTGTGTATTATGTGAAATCAAGAGGTAGAAGGAATGAGTAGTGGAAGAAGGAAGTTATAAATATCAACTGTGTCTCATAACCACTTAAAGAAATAAAATCTGTAGCAACTATGCATTTTTTTCTCTCTCTTGTTTGTTTTATGTTTATTCCAATTTTTTATTTTTACTCACTCTCTTTTCCTTGCTATTTTATAAAGTATTTTGGGCGATACTTTCCAATGTCATCTCTAGGTTATAGAAGTCTCCTGAGAAGGGGACTTAATACCTCAACCCCAGAGATGGACACAATTGCCGACAGGACATTTTTTTTTTTAATTTTTTTTATTGTTAGTTTCAGATGTATAGAACAATGCAATAGTTATCCTTTTCACCCTCACAAAGTAACAACCTCCCTCTCCCCCTATATTGCCCTCCCCCGATATCATGTTTATTTATTACAATTCCATTGACTCCATTCCCACTCTCTACTCCATGTCCCGTGACCATATGTATATATAATTATAGTTGACATACAATGTTATTCAACATCAGCTTCAGAAATACAGTGCGGTGGTCAGGCCTCTATACCGTCTATGAAGTGGTCTCCCCAACAGGACATGAGTCCATCTGGCCCTCGACAGGACATTTCTTACCATCCTTCTTGGCTACATCTAAAATGAGAGTTGAAAAAAATTCTCTTGGATGCAATAAATTTTTTATATCTTGTTTCCTACTGCTCTTGGTCTGTTAAACTGTTATGGTTATAAGTAGGGGTTATGATGTCTTTTGCAATACAATCCCCTCACAAATCTAGTTAGGCCTATGATATGTTTGCTTAATTATACCTTTTTATACCATTTACACATTTGCAATTTAGTTTTTATGTTAAAAAAATCCATTCAAGTTTGTGACTGAACAAGAAGAAGGATTAACGTTAGGTTGAGATGGATATGGTGATTGGTTGGACTGTTTGCCTCCTATGTATCACCCTTTTTTAGGGAAAAAGTCAGAAGGTCTCGGTTTGCAAGAATAATTGAAACGTGATAGGCAGAAGCATGATGATATTCCTATTAATTTGGTCTGGAAGTTTAAATATGGGGAGAAGGGTGAAAATGTACCCTGAGCAGTCTAAAGAGTGCACTTTGCAAGTTTTTTGTTGGCCATAAACTGCGTTGTTCCCCTTCTGGACTCATTCCTATTTGTGAGCCCCATCAGCAGCCGCAGTGGGCGATTCAGCAGCACAGCGCTTATGGGCTTTGGCTCTGGCAACTGCACGAGCAGCAGAAGCAGCAGGTGACTGTGACCTGGCTCTCACAGCATGAGCATGTGTGCAGGTCCTGGCTTCCTGAAAGAGGTAGTGAGTGCAGGCCCAGCACCAGCACCAGCACCAGCAGCTGCTGCCCATGCTCCCGCAACTTTGGTAACAGAGAGATCATGCATTTTGATTAATAACTATTTCGTCTTTCTAATCCAATGAATGTATTACTTTGTAACCATCTACTATATCATTTGTTTGTTTGTTTGTTTCAAATG